CTGTTGCGGGGCGAGGCCAGGCCCTGCGAGGGGGAGGACGGGACGTTGTGCCTGCGCCCTGCCGGGCTGGGGCGTGAGGCAGGCCCTGGAGCCCGAGGGATCTGTCAGCCCGGTGTGGTGGTCGGTGATTTATTTATCTTTTTTTTTCTTTCAATAGCATGGAGAAGCTTCGCTGGTTTTTGACGCAGTTTTTTTTCCTAACGGTCAGGTGGGGATTTTAGTTGAAGCTCTGGTCTGTCGTGATGAGTTTTCTGCTGCCCAAACTGTCCTGTAAGAGGGAAGTGGATCAGGCAATAAAAAGCGTGGCCGAGAAGGTTTTGGTTCTGCGGTTTGGAAGAGATAACGATGCTGTTTGTCTGCAGCTCGATGATATTGTAAGAGGGTTTTTTTCCTTTTTTTTTTCTTTTTTGAAAAAAAATCTATTAGTATACCTGTTGCACACAAGAGAATGTCATATGTTGCTTTTGGATAATACAGTGTCTCATGAAAATTCTGGTGACAAATGTAGAATGAAATAATACTATATTCATAAAAGAGTTTGAAAATTAAGCAAATCTTTATGTTATTGTAGTGGGTGTGTGAAGTGCTTGGAGTAGAGAAGGCATGATATTCTAGTCCTGCTTAAACTGATAAGACATAAGGAAAAGGGGCTTTATAAAGCTTGCTACCCTTTTTCCTCTTGGGTCTCAATCCATTTGTCATCTGTCTTTCTCACTCTTTACAGCTTGCAAAGACAGCTCATGACCTAAGTAAAATGGCAGTCATTTACCTGGTGGATGTGGACAAGGTTCCAGTGTACACCCAGTATTTTGACATCAGTTATATTCCATCTACTGTATTTTTCTTCAATGGACAACACATGAAGGTTGATTATGGGTATGTCATCCTACCTGGCATTATCTATTTATGTTTGTAAGAATTGTCAGTCTTTCTCTATGTTACCATGTCTGGGGAAGGTAACATTTGAAAACTATAATGTTGTTACCAGCATCTGTGTTGAAAACTCTCTAGGAAGCTAGGAGGACTCAAAATTAAGAAGTATTTTGAAATATGCTCTGATGCAATAAGTAGGTGTCAGCTGTGAAACATGCTTGACTCTGCAAAAAAATAGTATAGTTAAAGTCTTAGACACTGCACCTTTTTGGACTTTGGAGGTCACAGTATATTCCTGACTTGGTTATGCTATTACCAGTGCGGTTCGTTCTTTCTGAATTACTCAGAACCTCAAATTTCATTATACATCTTTTCTTGTCTTTAGGTGTTTTTGCTTTGAACACTTTATCATTACAATTCTACCTTTATCTTATGCTTATATTTAGGTCTCCAGATCATACCAAATTTGTAGGAAGCTTCAAAACAAAGCAAGACTTTATAGATCTGATTGAAGTGATTTATCGTGGAGCAATGCGTGGAAAGCTCATTGTGAGAAGTCCTATTGATCCCAATAACATTCCTAAATACGACCTTCTCTACCAAGGAATTTAATAGGTTGACCTGAGATAAAGAATTACAGAAATGACCGATGTTCTATATGCCTTGTTTTTTCCTTCAAGCATTTTTAGCCACCTCTGACACCATGGGACAGTTTGAGCATTTAAGTTGAAGGATCATATTGGTCTCCTTCTGAAGACAGACATTCTGTCACCTTAGACTTCTCTCCTAAATAAAGCTACATGTTCATGTGTAGAATTCGCGCAAGTGACTATTTGAGCCGCGTGCTGACCAGCACATGCAAAACAGGCAGGTTGGATGCATCCTCAATGATGGCACCTCCAGTGCAACTTTCTTAAGTGAACTAAAGCACTGTATATTCTATTTAATTGTCTATTTAGTACCATTTTCATTCAGATGAAATTGCTTTCTCTCAAGAGCGTTGAGCTGAATGCCTTTCCAATAGAATTTTACGCTTTTACCCATTACTGGAGAACGGGATGGAAGTTTTTTCAAACAGTATTAGAGATGACTGAAATCTGAAATGGATATAAAAACAAAAGGGAAGTGGACACTCTTTTTTCTGGCACCCAGTATTACTGTTCAACATTTTTTTTTGACTGAGATGGGAACTGAAGGTGTAGGACAAGGTTTTGTTATCTTTCAAAGCTCTTTTGCAGCCACAGAGCACTTTTAATTCCCACAGGATTAAACTGGAAATTCAGAATAACTGTTTTGTTTACAATTGCTTTAAAGGTTATTTGACGTTCCGCTTGCATAAATTGCAAACCTTGAGTATGGCTATTTAAAAACTGTCTCTATTTCCCACCTCTGTCTAAAATTAAACAGCTGAAAGAAAAAGCAATGTCATTCTTTTGCATCAGTTTGGTAATTGCAGGTTGCTAGAGTATTGTATTTCTATAGCAGCTCATGCCCAGTAATCTCACTGGCTTAGTTGGCTTTAAAACGGAAGTTACTTTAGTTCACTGTGTCATGTTTGGGGCATGCCATCTTTGACTGGAGGGAAGGCAGTAGTATATAGTTCCCTGAAGTATTGTTCAGCTTAACAGTAAATGTTTCAAGGAGGAAGGTGGATGTTCAAGCTCTTGAAAGAGTTTAAACATATATATATGAGGAAAATGTATATAATGAGGAAAAAATAGATCCTTTACATGCTTTGTGTATTCCAGATTTGTCCTTTTAATGAAAGCTGTGCACTTATGCGAGTATTTTCCTTATAGTTTAGTTTGATTGTAAAGCCGTAACTGCAGAATGTTTATTTTAAAAATTATGCAGGTGAGAGTTGATATACCTTAACATCTTTATTTTGTGCAACTTTAAATTTCACAGCTAGCTGAAGGGTTGAGGCTTAAAGCTTTCAACAATGCACTTCTTTCCTAATAGTTAACTTGTATTTGTGTGTTTCTCAAAACCAAACAAACTATCTTCAAATTTAAAACTGTAAGTTGCTCCACACTGAGAGGAAGGTCCTTAGATGACTGAAAGGTACAGGGGCAGTTATGAAAGGAAGAGACCACTATCAAGAGCAAATCAGTACACCTTTATTTATTGCCTCTCTTCTTACTTGTGCTGCTTCTGGTTGCAACAGGTGAATGCCTAAAGGCTGTCTTGGCTTTCAGTGTGCTCTTCAGGTACTTAAAGATGGCATGTAAGCAGCAGGAGGGTGCTAAACCATACTTTTCTGTTCCAGCAGAGACAGTAGGACAATTTACTTTCACGAGAGAACCCACAACTTTATCTAGAGGCTTACTGTTTGACACCCATTCCCGGCAGTATTTCTGTATCCATTCTTGTATTTGTAGATCGCTTCTAGTCTGGTGCTGTGTGTTGTGCATGGAGTTGATGAATGCCACAGAGTACACTTTATTCATTACCTCATATTTTCTCTGCACCAGCAGATCAACAAACACCAAGCCACCATAGCCATGGGCAACAAAGGCCACGTTCTTGGCTGCGCTCTTTGAAATGAAATGATCCCATACATACATGGTATGTTCCTTGGGGCTGCTGCTGCCCCTCTTGGGGATCCACCAGACAGACTGTGTAGAAGTCAGTGATTCTTCCCTGGTAGAAAAGCTTAACGTCTCCTTTTCAGTCTTCAGATCAACAAAGTTGTCATTGGGATTCAGTACAACCACTCCTCCATGGCTCTGAAGGGCCATTTGGATGAACGGTATTTGTGTTCCGTGCTCCAGGCCCTCACTGACAATTGTCCTCAGCCCCCACTGTCCGGCACAGAAAACTCCATGGTCTTGAAGAAGGACAATTAGGCTGGAGGAACTTGTTAGTGCATTCTTGCTCATGAAAAAGAAACTTCTTGGTTCATCCTCTGTAGCATCAGTAGGAATATAAACTTTCTGCAGCATGCAGACTCTTTCCAGGAGCTCATAAACATATTTGGTAATAAAATGTCCCAAAACTTGATAACGTTTATGATTCCGCTCATGTGCATTCTTGTAATAATTGAAAACAAAGGACTCATTTGTATCCAGATGCTTCAGTTCCCCTTTTATATTGAAGTCATACTTCAGTTCCTCTTGATACTCTGAACCCTCTATTAGTTTCCTGAAGCTTAGTTCATGCTCTGTTTGTAACCACTACAAATTAAGAAGATTCTGTCAATGTAGTGATAGACCTCCATACAACACCTACATAAATAAAACCTATTGTATTAGAATTCAGATTTAAAAGTGGTTACAAACAAAATACTCGTTAATACAGACTATTTCTTGGTGGTCTGTGGTAAACCAGCTGCTTGTAAAGCATCTCTCAGATTTTGGTTGCTGAATTCCAACAGCAGTACATTAATACTAACATCTCCAGTTGCTCATTCATCCTTGCAAGCACTTGCCACATGGAAATGGTGAAATGCATGAGTGAACAAGCAAGCCACTGTGATCAAGGGATGGGAGAAAAGAAAGTCCCTCCAGGTTCAGCTAAGACTATTTTTCAACTTGTATGACAGATCATCTGATAAGAATTATACCAGGGAGTGGTTTCCATGCAACGGAAAAATTAAGTTTATCATAACCTTCTGTTTTCCTAATAACTCTTCAGTGTACTACTGACTGTCACTGGCTGTAGAATGGTAAACATGGGTTAACCTTTGGTGTGGTTAGAATCCTACTTTTACAAGATTTTTGTCCTAACAGCAGAGATTTGCGAGCATTAAATCCCCACAATTATAAGTATTTTCAAAACAAATTTATCATCTTAACACAGTAATTTTGTTGTGGCAAATGTTTTATATGACGTTATATTTGGCAAATACATTGGTGCAAGCTACTATATACCTTTAAGTTTTTCTTGCTGCGCTAACAGAGGTTTTCACAACACAGTAGATCACATTCTGACTATGTCAAAACTCACTATACAATCTGATAAAGCTGATTACTAGGACAGAAAGTGATCTGAAAATTTTTATGTAAGCAACCTGAGTTTCCTTGAGTAAGCTGCTTAGCATATTGAAAATTATTTCTTACGCTTCCAAATTAAAAAAAATGAAAAAGTTCTTTGCTTTTCAATGGGGCAACACCATACTTATTTTCCTTTTGAGCAATCTCCATTGGTTCAGAGATGTTGAGTCACCTTTTCAGAGTCATTCCTGTCTTCTGATTAATAGATAGTAGGCTAAAACATACTATCTTCTCCTTTTTTATCTTGTGTAATAAGTACACATAGAAAAGGGGAAAAAATCATAGTCTATGATATATAAACCATTTACTGCCTTGCCAGTTTTTTGGAACAGAAACAGCACAAAGAAATTGCAAGTGCGCACATTCATCTAGGATTTTTTCACTCTGCAGGAAGGCATGAAAGACACACGGGAGATGGGAGGACAGACTGTTTGCTATACTACTGAAATACGGGCAATTGACGTATAAAAGATCATGTTTAGTAGGGAGGAAGCTACCCATATTCATGTTGTTTTCCCCATGCAGTGAAGTGGGAGAAAAATGGACATGGTTTAAGGAAAGATGTCTGTGGAGAAAGGTAAAGCACAGAGGAAGCATTCCATAACAATTAGGAGTAGGTAAGTGCAGTTTCCTCACTGAGTGGCATGCTGTCCAACACTTCTCTCTGTCCCTTGCTCTCCTCACCCCTAAAAGGTTGGAGACTAGCTTCCCAATGTACTATGAACAGGAAGTTACTATACTCCAGCTACTAACAACAACATTGCTTTTTCAGTTCCAAAACAAGGATACATGAGTCTAAATTAAACCCTATGTAAAAACCTATGTATGTAATATTGAACATCTACTTAAATATCTACTTTACAAAGCATTGTGAAAGGTTTCTGAAGATTTCAGGAAGCAGAAACAAAAAAATACAGTTATATGTCATGCATAGGTATGACCTCCCTTCCCAAAATGGCCTTCAAGGTGCGAACTAAAAAGTTTTGAAGCAATTTATGGTAGGTTATCACTTAAGCATTCGAGTAGCACCCTAGAATCATATACTTCTTAGTCTGGAGGACTAATTTTATTGTAGTAATGACATTTATAGAAATAAAAAGCAGCAGTTATTGTTCTAGATACAGCTGCATAAAGCATTTACCTCTTTTTGGTAAATGTACATTCTAAATCAGTGTTGACTGCTGCTTATGCTTCATTGTCTATATAAATGCAATATGCAAGGGTGTTTATTCGTGCAGCCTTACAGTTGCTATTTTGATTTTAAAAAATTACTGTTGGGGGAAAAAATTTCCATCTTTCCCTTTCTCCCACTTTTCTGTTTGGATCGTAAGATTCTTCAACTGCAAATTTGGCTAGCGTTTGTTACAGCACTTGGCATATTTGAAACACTGCTGCAGTTTTGCTCTTTATGAGATTTTTCCATTTAAAAACAGTTTCCTCTATTCTAGTAAAGCCCAACATTACCGTATACTGTCCCGTAAAATCAGTCATCATCATAGACGGAAATTTTTTTCACTCCGGGGTCGTAGACAATTTCTCTGTGTGAAAGAAAATAAACCCATCTTAGTTCAGGTTTCATTATTTTACATACTTTATTTTGAGGTGTATCTGTAAAATGTATCAGATGGTGCTAGTTAAGGCCATCCAAAGTGTTTCAGATAGTTCCATGTTACATGTATGTAATTTACACCTGACCATAGAAGTTAAACTTCTTTGGTGTGAAACTAAAAAGTTGTCAAAACTAGTTTTGCACAGCTTCCAATTACTTGATACAAAAGCACTACCAAGAGGACAAAACAGAAGGCTACTCACAAAACTTCGCGATTGTGAAGCTGCCCTGAAAAAACTCCCAGACATCCAAACCACACCAAACGAAACCAAACCAAACCAAACCAAAACCCAAAAAACAAATCTTTGTCACCACTGGGGGGGGGGGGGGTGTTCCAAGGCCACCGGCTGACAACCGCGGTGATAGCTGAAGTTACCGAGGGCGCCCAGCTGTGCCCGGCAGCCGAACCCCCCCGGCCGCGGGGCGGGCCGCGTTAGCCCTGCTCCTGGCGCCTGACGGGGAAAACCTGGCCGGCAAGGGGCGATTTAAACCCGATTCGGTTGGGTTGATGTATTACTTGTTTTAAAAATACCCAGGTTTTCTTGATTCCTTCCACAAATCTTAGTATTTCTCCCGTTTCTTCGACGTTTGCTAGCCTGTGCTTCCTTTAGCTTTATTTTATTGCGTCCACGGAGCTACTAATTTTTTACTACTCATCAGGTTGTCAGGTGCGGGGAAATGTGTGTAACAGCACACCTGTGACACTATCATTAGCTCCACGCCACTTACATTTTTCCCCCCCTTCCTGGCTCAGTTTGAGGCTAAACCTGAGAAAGTGAAGATACGGGGAGGCCGCGAGCGCGGCGAGGCACGCCTGTGGGGGAGAACCAGCAGGAGGGGCCGGTGTT